TCTATCACATAAAATCCCAATAATATAAATTTACGTTTTTGGTTGTAACATGACACAATGTGGAAAATTTCAAGGGGTATGAATACTTTTTCAAGGCAGAGTACATCTAATCTGTTTTTTAATTTTAGAGGGTATGGGTAAAATGCATCAAAATGAACTCAAATGTCCAATGCAAGCATGTAAGATTTTTAAGAAGAACAGAAGCAATCAGGGCTCTCTCTGTGTCACACCAGTTCCATCTCCGGCATATTTAGTATACGGCTTTCTTCATATTAGTATTCACAATGTGTGAGCGATTTGCATCTAGATTTGTGAATGTCACAGTTTCACCCTTCATATAAAGTCTATAATTTTCCTAACATTTTTCCGCCAAAGTTAAACGAACTGTAGGTTTTCAAGTCATGGCAACCCATCTTATTCGTTACTCACCCACTAATTTGGGAGCGAGCCGTGTAAATTCGGGTCACTGGTTGATGATGAAAATATATCTCGTCAGTAACTAATTCAATTTAAAAGTAAGTGATGAATATATTCTTTCTCTATACTTTTCAGATAAGTATAGTAAGTGAACCAAAGCAGTTTTGAGAATCGAGGGTGGCTAGCTAAAGGAGGCATCTGCCCTGGGCCTCCAACATTTAAGGGGCTTACAGTTGTAGAATTCAACTGTAACTAATTCCACGCTCTTTGACATGACATTGCTATTAAGTTTTTTTTTTTAACCTAATAAAATGTAGTCTTTTTGTAACATAGAAAACCTTTGTTTTATAGTTATTTTACTGTTTGATTTTATTTTTAACCATTAGCCGCCCAGCCTATAGCCGTTTGGCGGCCGCAAAAATACTTTAGCTTTCCGGGGTGTACGCCAGTTAGGCGTCCTCCCGCACATGCACAGTTCGCGCGGTTGCAGAGCCGCGCAGCGGCGCGATCTGTCACCGGCCGTGTACCTCGGACACGGCCGATGACAGATCTGAGTACCGGCCCGTTGCCCGTACCATGTGACCATTTGGCGCCCCCCTGCACATGCGCAGTTCGCGCGGTTTGAAGAGCCGCGCAGCGGAGCGATCTGTCACCGGCCATGTACCTCGGACACGGCCGATGACAGATCTGAGTACCGGCCCGTTGCCTGTACCATGTGACCCTTTGGCGCCCCCCCCCGCACATGCGCAGTTCGCGCGGTTGCAGAGCCGCGCAGCGGCGCGATCTGTGACCGGCCGTGTACCTCGTGTCCGATGACAGATCTGAGTACCGGCCCCCGTTGCCCGTACAATGTGACCTGCTGTGACCAATCACAGCAGGTCACATGACAGTTGTATACAATGGATGGCTTCATTCATGCCATCCATTGTATACTAGTGCCTAGCTGTGAATGGTCACAGCAGGTCACATGCACATGTGATTAGCTGTGGCCAAATCACAGCTAAGCACAAAAAAAAAAAAAAAAACCCTGAATGAATCGACGTCATTCAGGTAAATGCTTGCTTATAGCAAAGTAATTCTTTGCTATAAGCAAATTGTGTAAATAAAAAAAAAAATACTGATCACTTCCCCAAAGTAGTACACTGTTACTATGGTAACATTGTACTACTTTGGTCATAGTAAAATATGAAAAAAAAATAAAAAAAAAAAAAGTAAAAAATTAAAAATAAAAAAAAAAATAAAAATAAAAAAATATATATTTTTTTTTCATACTGTCACCAGTCAGTGTCCCTGTTCACCGCCATGCCAGTTATATGATGACGCTGTACTGCACTGGTGACAGTATGTAAAAAAAAAAAAATAGTGAAAATAATTTTTTTAATTTTTTAATTTTCCGAAAAAATTATGACAAAAAAAATACAACTTCAAAAAACTCGCCATTCCTCTTATGAAGTACGTCGGACTGTCTACTTTGCAAAAAGGGGTCATTTGGGGGATATCTGTACTGTTCTGACATTCTTGGACCTCAAGAAATTAGATTGGCTGTCAGTACTTCAGGATTGATCAATATTCAGATATATACCATAGTTTGTGAACTCTATAACTTTCCTACAAACTAAATAATACATCCTAATTTGGGTTATTTTCACCAAAGACATGTAGCAGAATACATCTCGGCCTAAATTTATGAAGAACAATTATTTATTTGTAAACTTTTATAACAGAAACAAAGAAAAACGTGTTTTTTTTTTTCAAAATATTTGGTCTTTTTTGTTAATTTAGCAAAAAATAAAAACCCCGGCGGTGATTAAATACCACCAAAAGAAAGCTCTAGTTGTGTGAAGAAAAATGATAAAATTTTTAGTTTGGGTACAATGTTGTATGACCGCGCAATTGTCATTCAAAGTGTGAGAGTGCTGAAACGTGAAAACTGGCCTAGGCAGGAAGGTGTAAAATTGCACGATATTGAAATGGTTAAAAGCCGAAGAAAGTGAAGTCTGCTTCTGCACAGTATTTTCTGGTCATCACTGCTGGCATACTAGGCACACATAGGGCAGCATGCAGGCTGAACAAAAAATTCTAACATGTTCTTCCATTCATGCTATACAGTGAAGATGGATGAATTCCTCTTCTGGACTATCGTATTCGGATTGGATGTAGCCAACGTTTGACCAACAGATTTTCACACAGCAACTTTTATATTTCAGTCAAAGGATGTCTGGTGGGAGGGTGCTGATTGGGCCACCCATGAAGCACATTTTGGCCAGTTCATCAGGAACCGGCCTAAATTCGAAGTATAGCTTCCAGAAAGCAAAAAGCTTTCAGCATAGTCCGTATACTACTAGGGACCAGTCCTTTGGATCCAAGTTTTAGTTCTAGCAGCAATAATAATCATTCTGATATCAGCTGTCCTACAAGGGTTACGCTATGGAAAAGCTTTGGGATTTGTGACTGCATTAGGCATACAAGGTTGATTCCAGTCTGTAGCAGAAGTTCAGAGGGCCATATATCTACATTGCTAAGACAACCAAGCAAATGGTTCTTACTGCGAAGACTAGTGGCTGACTTCAGCCTTTCTAGACTGTAAAACATAAAGTGGTTGTAAACCTCACACATGAAATATGAACAAAGCATATCCCTTTATAGTGTGTACTTGTCTCAATCCAGAGCACTAAGTGTCATTCTGTCCGCTACCTCATTCCTCTGCTATCTGCTTGAACCTCTTCTGACAGGTTTTCCTGACACCAAGAGATATAATGACAGAGGAGGGAGCTCCAGCACACAGCCGGGGATTGACAGCTTCAGCTCTGTTCCTGTGTACAGGGGGGGGGGGAACCCTGCCTTCCAATCAGCTCTCACTGAGCTCTGCAGAGAGTAACTGGAGCTCCCCACCCCCTGCTTTCTGGAAGCTCAGACAAGCTGTATAAAATCTATGGGCAGCACAGTGGATAAATGGTTAGCACTTCCGCCTGGCAGTACTAGGGTTGTTGGTTCGAATCCCAGCCACGGCACCACCTGCCTGGAGTTTGCACTGGTGTAACACAGAGAGAGCCCTGATTGCTTCTGTTCTTCTTAAAAATCTTACATGCTTGCATTGGACATTTAAGTTCATTTTGATGCATTTTACCCATACCCTCTAAAATTAAAAAACAGATTAGACGTACTCTGCCATGAAAAATTATTCATACCCCTTGAGCATTTCCCATGAAATGACTTTGTAGCAAACCTGGAGTTTGCATGTTCTCCCTGTGCCTGCGTGGGTTTTCCTCTGGGTACTGCGGTTTCCTCCCACACTCCAAAGACATGCTGGTAGGTTAATTGGCTCCTGTCTAAATTGGCCCTAGTATGTGTATGTATGAATGTAAGTTAGGGACCTTAGATTGTACGCTCCTTGAGGGTTAGGGACTGATGTGAATGTACAATATATATGTGTAAAGTGCTGAGTAAAGTGACAGTGCTATATAAGTACCTGAAATAAAATAATAATAAATAAAATAGTTTATGCTTTTATTTCATCTGGAGGAGGGAAGGAGGGTCTACCTCAGCTAAGCATATCCACTTACCTGAATATCTGAGCTAAGGGCAGATGGATTCCAGGATGTAAATGCTGCATGAATCATCTGCCTTAACTTAAGATTGCCTCAGCTAGAAATACTAGGCGGGCGTTTTTCAAAGTGATTTCCTAACAAAATAAAGCATGGAGACATGGATGTGTGGGTGAATTTGCTTTAAATATTAAAAATGAAAATCCCAACCACGGCACCACCTGACTTTTGCATGTTCTCCCTGTGCCTGCGTGGGTTTCCTCCGGGTACTCCGGTTTCCTCCCATGCTCCAAAGACATGCTGGTTGGTTAATTGGCTCCTGTCTAAATTGGCCCTAGTATGTGTATGTATGAATGTGAGTTAGGGACCTTAGATTGTACACCCCTTGAGGGTTAGGGACTGATGGGAATGTACAATATATATGTATAAAGCGCTGCGTAAATTGACGGCGCTATATAAGTACCTGAAATAAATAAATAAAATAATAAATAAATAGACTTTGAACAGATGTAGAGAGGAGAAAACAGCAGATAAACAGGCACAACTTTTGTGGAAGATTTGTTTAACCTCCTCGGCGGTCTGATTATTTTTTTGCGCTAAAAGCGGTACCATTTTTTTACATGGAAATATGTTGTTTTTTTATTGTGGGCTGTAATTTTTAGGAATAACTCACTGAAATCTGTCCGAACAAGAGTCTAGTAAACATCCCGGGGATGATAAAATTTGAAACACAAAATCGATAAATTATAATTTAATAAATAATCATAAAAAATAATAATATAATAATAATAAATTAATTCAGTAATATAATCAAACCAAAAACACTGAAATTTGAAATACAGAAGCAAAGTTCGCACATCGCTGAGCAAAGTCGCAAAATTGTTTTCAGTGTCTGATGATGAATTTCCCCCACGAATCATTATCACTCAATTCTGCAAGTGGTTCTGATTTACTATCGCTGTTCTCTAGCCGGTCTAAACCCGCTTTTGACCTAAAGGGACGCATTTTGGACGCCATGGACTTTTCTAAGTTTCCAGGCAGAAAGAACAGTCAAAATGCAGGCAGGGCGCCAGACAAAGCACTGGGGACAAAATGTATGTGAAATGCATTGAAACAGCAATGTTTTACTATGTAATAATCATTTAAAAAAAAATGACATTTTTTAAAAATTTCAAATTTGCCGCCGGTTCCAGGGCCCGTACGTCCCGACGTCACAGGGAAGCCGGATGCCGGCATCGGCCGGAGGAGATGGCCGGGGACGCTGCAGGGGACACATCGTGGGAGCGAAGGACAAGGTAAGTGCTGCAGGGACCCCCTGAGCAGCGCCGCATGGTAAGCCCGAGTGTAGCTCAGGGGTTACCGCTCTTGGTACTGACATTTTACCCCGAACTACACTCGGGAATACCGCTAAGGAGGTTAATCTCTGTGTATCTCCAGTCACTTCACTGGTTAAATTTGAGGGTTTACAACCACTTTAAGGCCCCGTTCACAGTTAGGCGATTTGGAATCACAGGCAGAATTGGTGTGATTCTATCCGCAATTCCAAATCATGCCGAAATCACAGCAAAATGAGCAACATGCTCTTGGATACCATTCATCCTTAATGGCACCCCATACGCAGTGCGATTTTACTGCGATTGTTGCGTGTAATAACGTGCTTCACTTAGTCCCTGAGCTTCCTTACCGCACAAACGTTGTACTGACTACCAATGGAAAGCAGCCTATCTCCATTGACCACCAATTTAGGTAAATGGGTTGCCCTATGCACGACACATGGAATCCTGTGAAAATTGCTCACACAAAATCACAAGTTCCCACTATGTATAGTGTGAATAGGACCTAATAGTTGTTTTTTTTAAGCCTCTCTAATGGTCCCATGTTCCCTCTCACCCTAAACCCCATAGCAGCGGCATGGGCAGCTACGGCCATTGCTACGCCATTGATCGTAAAGGCTTTATCTTTTCTAAAAATTCAGGTGGGTCTTTCTGTCTAAGTAGTATATTCTCTCCCTGCCAACGTTATGTAAACTTCTTTCCCATAATGTTATCTTTGTCCTCTTCTGCTCTTGCCACTTTGTCCTGCTGAGCCTGTGGCTAATAGGCCAGTGTCATTTTGGAAGCTCAACCCTAACAGAAGAGGTTAAGCCTGCCGGTCTGATTTTGATGTGAAAATGGTGAATTTACAATCTCATTTTGATTTGAAATGACTCGCATTGTACAAATCGCTACAAAAGCCTTCCGATGTCCTTGAAGGTTTAATAACCCCGATACATGCCTACGACGCCCGCAAATCTTTCTATCCGCTATAAAAGCAATGCACTTCGGCCGGCGATCCACTTTCATTACACTTTATCTGTCTCCAACAGGACAGAATCTTTTAATCCTTCACATAGCTTGTCCTTTTTTTTTCCATTTTCAAAGCAGGAGGAGATATGCGCAATAAGATTTAAGACGTTTGCTCAAAACGGCTCTCTGAGAGAAAACAAACTTCTCAAGAACCCACTTGTAGTTCTTGCAGTAATTTGTTCTCAGAAGGTCAAAACTTCCTTTCAAATGAAGAATGCACTTAAATGGAACCAGACAGATCACAGTGGGTAGGGCAGACTGAAGCAGCGTAGAGGCCAATTTTATCCTTTTAAATTTAAATTTGTTCTGCCAGTAGAAGCTTTAGTACCCTCTACATGTCTGGAATTACTGTGAGGCATAGGCAGCACTTATGTAGAGGCAACATAGGCAAGGAGGTGACTTTTTTCCTGTATAATTATTGGCCACACACTTTTTTTTCACTGTTATTTTTCCTAATGGCAGCCAACATAAGGGGCATCCTTCGTCTCAATTACCGCCAATGTAAGGGGACACTTCTACGTAGACTACTGCTGAAAGGGGGCACTACATTGACCACCAATTTAAGCAGGCCCGTCTTACATTGATTGCTGACACTTCGACCACCATTGTAAGGGCCATTTCCCTGACTACCAATATAAGGCAGTCCTCCTCCACTGACCACCAATGTAAGAAGACATGCCTTCATTGACCACAAATGTAGGGAGGCCAAATCTTCCAACTGCCCATTAAATTCCATAATAAAAAAACTTGGAGGAAAGATCTATGATATTACTTTTCCAAGGTATTCTTCTCTCACTCCATCTTCTACATCTTTCAACATCTCTCCTAACATTTTTGCTAAAACTTTGTAGTAGTACTGCCTGGACCTTTAAGAAGGGGACATACCCCGAAAGCTTGTCCTCAAAATTGTATGTTAGTGCAAATAAAAAAAGTATCACGTCAGTACTCAATTGTTTCCATCTTCTAAGCAATTCTTTCAATGTATTCAATAATATCAAGGTTATTATATTACCATCCCTTTCCTTGACTCTAGGAAGGAACACAGTTGTTTTAAATAGTAAATCTAAACATTTCCCCAACAAGCCTCCTATCCTACCCATAATTCTCTTCCAAAACCTCTTGACCTTCCTACCCTCTTGACCTTCTTACCAACGGGACACTACTTTGACCACCAAATCAGGCAGGCCCTTCTTACATTGATTACTGATGTAGGGGACACTTCTACACTGACCACCGATTTAAAGGGCACTTCCTTGACTATGAATGGAAGGTAGCCCTTCTCCATTGACCACCAATGTAAGAAGACATGCCTTCATTGACCATGAATGTAAGAAGGCCTTCTCCACCGACTACCATTTAAAAAAAAAAAAATATTGGTATCAAATCTACATATAACATTTAGGCCATAATAATCAAAAATTCCTAAAATCAAGATAAACAAAGAGCCCAATTCTAGTTTCTGGAACACTGGAAATGTGTCTCCATGTTTAGTCCACCATCCTTGAATATATTTTTTTTACATTTAATGGCAAAATCTCCCACTTGCCCATAAAATTCCAGAATCAAAAATCCCAAGGACAGATATATATTGCTTATTCAAGGTAACCTTCTCTCAGTCCATCTTCTAATTAGGTCTTTCAATGTGTTCAATAATATCGAGGTTATTAAATTACCATCCCTTTCCTTGACTCTAAGAGGAACACAATTGTTTTAAATAGTAAATCTACACTTCTACTCAACAAGTCTCCCATTCTATCCACAATTCTATTCTAGGGCCTCTTGACCTTTCTTACATTTAAATGACATATGATTTAGATTTGGAATAGGAGCCCTACACGTCAAGCAATGAGAGGTACAGTTATCATTATATTCCAAATATGCACTGTAGCTGTAGAAATAATGGCTCTATTATTTAGTTTAAAATATACCTGAGGTCAGTTCCCACAAATACAGTAAATACAATTTAAAGTTATTTATTATCATAAATAACAGGTCATATATGGCCAGAATAGGGAGTTCTTTTCATTTAGCGCTATGTTTGGAAGATTTTCTAATACTACTATACTGACCACCATTGTAAGAGGGCACTTTTACACTGACTAGTGCTTAAAGGGGGCATTAATTGACCATCAATGTAAACAGAACTTTTCCTATTGACTGCTGATGTCGAGGTGAACCACCAATGTAAGGGCACTTCCCTGACTACCAATGTAAGGTAGCCCTTCTCCACTGACCACCAATGTAAGAAGACATGCATTCACTGACCAAAGATGTAAGGAGACCTTCTCCACGGACTACCATTTTTTAAAAATGTTGGTATCAAATCAACTTAAAAACACAAATAAACCATAAATATCAAAATTTCCAAAAATCGAGATAAAGAATCCTATTCTAGTATCTGGAAAATTGTCTTTATGTTTAGCTCACCATCCTTGAAAATAGAACTTTCCATTCAAGGCCAAATCTCCCAGTTGCCCATAAAACTTCAGAATCAAAAATCAGACGTAGACAGACAGATGTAAGATATTCTTTATTCAAGGTAACCTTCTCTCAGTCCACCTTTTAAGCACTTCTTTTAAATGTAGTCAATATTATCAAGATTATTAATTTATCATCCTATTCTTTGACTCTAAAGGCCCTTGCTCACTGATGCACTTTTGCCATGCTGGAACGCATCAAAAATGATCAGGTGGTAGCACCGCTTCTGAGCTGGACAATGCTGGCCATGCGGGAGGCATTATCACTGTTGTTAAGGACGTCGTTGGGTTCCAGCTCCTTAACAACTACCCGCCAGCATCCTTAACAACCAATGAATAGCTGGTTGTTAAGGAGCATCCTTTACAATCAGCTATTCTCAGCTTTATGCGCTGCATGCAACGCATTTAAAATGCGCTATGCAATTTTTAAAACCGAATAGTCCATTTTATAAGTGCTGCAATATAAAAAATACATCTGCTACACTGTGAAAGCAGCCTAAGAAGGAACACAGTTGTTTTAATTAGTAAATCTACACATCTCCCCAACAAGCCTCCTATTCTGCCCAATGTAAAGGGGCAATTCTCCGCAGACCATTCATTTAAGGTAGTAGTACACTAACAATCAATGTATGATGATGTCAAAGGCACGATGAACAGAGAAGGCATGGTGCTATGGTGATGTTTCTGCGGGGGCAGGCGTTTGACACCCTGCACAAGGTTGATCTCCTTAGTCTTTCAGGTTGAGCGACACGGGGCTTCATTCAACCCAGAAGATTGAGGACATGCTGTGGTGAAAGCCAGTGTGGTGAGTACGGCATGGGACAGCTCTGGCCTGAAGGTGAGCACTGAAACCCGAGTTTACAAAAAAAAAAAAAGCCAGGGTGAAAACACTGCTGTAAAATGTTATTGCAGAATGAACAGCTTTGTCATCATTGGCGGCATCAGCAGGTACTAAAATACTGCTGGGGGAACAAAAACTTTAAAAAATCATTTGGACGAATGTGATAAACATTTGCCCAGCCTTGACTAATGCTGACAGTATTTTGTTTAGTACACTGATTTTCACATGATCATCCGCTCCATCTAGTGGCCATAATACCATATTTTTCCTGATTTAGGTATTTCAGAAAAATACTGCATTATGGTCACTAGATGGAGCTAACGATCATAGGAAATCTTTGTATTGAGCCAAATACAGTCAGAATTAATTTGTCACATTCACCCAACAGATTTTTTGTAATTGGACCCTTAAGGTTCTGAGGAGTCTATTGTTCTTTATTAAAACAGGAGGACTAAGGTACATATGTTGTGTTGCTCATGTAGTCATGTATTATAATTATTGTTATTATTATTATTATACAGAAGAATTGTATATAGCACCAACAGTTTGCACAGCACTTTACAACATGAGAGCAGACAGTACAGTTACGATACAATACAATTCAATACAGGAGAAATCAGAGGGCCTTGGTCCCGAGAACTTACTCAAATTTTGTTTCTGCTACTTTCCATGCAGTACATAGACAATGCTAATCTACTATGAAAGTTTTCTGCCC